AAACGTAAATATTCGTTAAGTACGTATTGCATTAGAAAAATTGGTACTTGCCAGCGAGATTCGAACACCAGTCCATCGCTCGATTTAATGCACCGTCTTATCCTTTAGGCCACAACGACTTACACGTATTACTTATTGGAAAGTGCACTTCTTTCAGAAATAATGAACTTGCTAATAGCTTTACGGCCGAGGAGAGTGAACGAGCTCACGGCCTACCTGGAGGTATCTGGTTCTCGAAGCCCATAAACCTTTTTACTGGTAGGACCTCTTGTGAGTCCGCACGGGTGGGTACCACCACCCTGTTTATTTCAGCCGTGAAGCAGTAATGCGTTTCGGTTTGAAGGATGGGGGGCAGCCGTTGTAACTATACTTGAGACCTTACAACTTATATCTCAAGGTGGGTGGCGCATTTACGTTGTAGATGTCTATGGGCTCCAGTAAGCACTTAACACCAGGTGGGCTGTGAGCTCGTCCAACCATCAAAGCAATAAAAAAAATAAAAAAAACCTACCTTGAGACATTATGTCCGAGTCTCAATTCTATTGTGTAACTCACTATTAAAATCGGAACACTAACTCTTCGTTAGAAATGAACAAAGTGGTGGCACCTACCCATACGAGATCACAAGACACCTTACAGCCAGTAAATAGGCAATTTAATAGACATAGTAGGCAGACGAGCATATAACCCACCGGATGGTGAATGGTTACCGTCGCCCATGGACGTCAGTAATGTCAAGGGCAGAGCCAAGCCGCTGCCTACCATTAAGTACTCTCCACAATATAAAACTACAAGATATAATTCCTTCATAGTAAAAAATATTCAAAAACATTTAATTATTAGGTATTAAGCTTACTGTTGTCGTATCCTGTAGACCACGACGACATTGAGTTATCTGAACTACTCTATCAATTCATTGAGTGCTGATTTAATGAAGTTCATGTCACTTAAAATACCAGAGCTGACGTCCAAGGTAAATAAAATTAAAAGAAAGACAATATCCTTTTATTTAAAAAGATCTTTTCAACATTTAACTAACAAATAATTTTCTTTTGAACAAATACAAGTCCTCGCCTCTAAAATAGACATCACAGATAAATGTAGACACATATTTTTTTTTGTCACTAGAAACGCCAATCTCTACGAAATGTTAGCTTCCGTGTGAAGAAATTTCATCTTAATAATGTTTTGTTATGATGTAACTGAATACAGTTGGACACTATCATTTCATACTTTTTGATTCCACAGATATTTTTTTTTTACCAAAGAGTATATTTCACCTCATTCCAAAATATTAGTACAGTACATTTATCAAAAAAAAAAAAAAAACGAAGAGAAAGCAACACACTGTATTCTCAACGAACGCTCAAACATTGTGTCGGAACATTAAAAGTATAACAAAAGCAAGGAATTTGTTACCTATCTACTAAATACAACATTGCGTTATGTACATTGCCCGTTTTTACATTCATTTATATAAAGTGTATTATTACACTACATAACTACTAGCTATCTAATAATTTCGAAAATAATACTTTGGCCAATTTCGTCTGTTCAATATTTAAAGACTATGTGTAAATTTAGATTTCAAAAACATTTCATGTATATAGTTTAGATTATAAAATATCGACTTATACTATTTTCATTGTGTGTAGCGCTCACTAGAACGGCATGTGCTTCTCAAACTTTAACGTTTTAGATTGTAGAAATTAGATTTAAATAACTTTATGTACTTAGATACATCATGATAGTAAAACGCGCTGATATGTGACTTACAACAACTTCCTTTAATGATATCTTACATGAATACTGATTGTTTTCTTTTTCTCAACATACTGTAAGTAATTCAAAAAGCTTAGACTGAATATACTGCACAAAAAGAAAAGAAATACAATCAATACAATCAAAAATAAACTCAGCGTTGAGATTTCCATTGATAAGTCTAAAATAAGGACACCATTTTTCAAGCACGGTTTAAAAATTATCCAAAATACATACACAAAATTAACATTTAAGTATTTTTTTTTTTAATAAAAATCTTACACAATAATGACATGGAAAATTGATAATTCCCTTACGAATAACTACGCATTCCATTTTATACGGTAAGGATAGGGCAATAGAAATTTCGATCTCATGTACCAAAGTTAGCAACGACATTCACTTTGTGGTATCTATGGCATCTCGAATTTTGTTTTTTCACAAAATAAAAATATTACTTTTGTCTCTTGATCAATATTATCATTACATTATACATAAAAATATTAATTGCATTATGCACGTCATATTTTATTTTTATTATCACGAAAAAACGACGCCATTTTTATTTTTATTTTAAGTACTTAAGGAATGACATAAACTCTCCGCATGGAGTAGCCCATGAGTACATTTCAGTATCACAATAATTATCAACAAAAACGTTCATCGCTTGAACTTTGACTACATATTTATATATTTTAGGAACAAAATAGGAAAGGTTAGTAACCGTGTACAATTAAGTTTTTTTTTTTTTAGAGAAAAAAGCAATAGGTTTCAGTTGCTGTTTCCCAACACAGTGTGCGGACTCATTAAAAGATTCGCTAAAAAATGTTATTAATGTTCGTTTATACACTACCAAGACTGACAATTTATTACGTGTACAATATTTACATGAAGTTTCTAAATTTTATTATATGTTTAACATGTAATACTGTATTTACACAAACTTCTATACTATATACATACATAGATTAATTTCGATAGTATTGTGATATTTAATTAGTTAAAATATTATGTTGAAATCCAGCCTGTATAGGTTTTAATGCGCAACCTCCTATGGAGCATTAAGTGTAATCTATTTGTTCATCTAGATATTTATAAACGTGTTTTTTGTTCATATCTATAATAGCCTAAATAGCCTATTCTTTTAATAAATAATAAAAAAACTTAATTGAAATTCTATTTTATCGCAGCTGAAAGTATATGTAAATCGAAGGATAATTAAAATTGCACTAATATTGTTCGTTCCTTAAAAAACAAATTCAGTTGTCAACTTAACTTCAACAAAAATTTGTTAACGCGTTCATATGACGTCACGGTCCAGGAATCAATTACCAGATATTAATGGTCCAATATTTTCAGTATTTGCATGACATTTAATTGCGCAATAATTAGTACGCACCGCCGAACGCTTTTTATGTCATCACTGAATATAATATTGCGGCTATAAGAGTAAATAAACCTGCGACATTTAAATCTTAAATTGCATTTTAATTTGATAAAAAATTTATTAAATTTTGTTTTGAAAGCACATCACTGAGCGCGTATCTATAAAATATAAAACTGTTCATCTTGATCGTGGCAAAACTATTCTCTGAGAACAAATCTTTCACTGCAGAAATACTCGATAAGAAACAATTACAGTACATTATGACAGTCGGCGACTGGATTTAATATTGATCCTAAGACTTTTAAACTAGTTTGTCAAAGTACAGATCTAATAAATTGAGCAAATCATTAACCGGCAAAACAATGGCACTCTTTTAGAATACTTTATTCTATTGACCTAATTTAAACTCAGCCGTTTTCAATACCATTTTGGTTGTTAAACTTTTTTCTTGAGAATAATGATTTAAACATAAACAAATCGCTCTTAAAACATATTAATTAATAGTAATTACAAGTAGTTAAATAATTAGAGTAGGATGTAAATTTAAATTATTTTTATATATGTACTTTATTTTTACTAAATTTACTATGAAAAAATGTAACTGGTCCTCCACAACATTATGGCATGACGTTTTGATATATTCTAATATTTTTGGGGCAATTCGATTAAAATATTGCTTGACTTACTAACACAATTCAATCTAAAAATTATAATCTAACAAAAGCATTTCAGTAAAACTTTTTTAAGTAGAATATCTAAAGAGATTAATGGTTTTACTGAAGAAAACTATACTCTAAATTAATTGCATTCACGCTGCATCGTGACCGCGGAATTTTAAACTCAATAATAATCATAGTTTTCTCATTGACGTTATAGAATATATGTACTTTTTTTTACGAAACTTTGAGAGCAACTGCAGCTGAATTGTAAGGGCCTTTTCACACACATGCGTTTTCATTTATATATCAAAGCAACTGTTCACATAATTGCACAATTTTGTCACAAACAATTCATTACCATAATAAAGCAGTTGCTAATGTTTGTGCGTTCAGTATCAATTGTTAATGTGCTTAATGAAGGATCGAAATAAAATTTAAGTTCTAGTGCTGTTCAGATTGTGAGATTCACAGAAAACGGTGGAAAAAATATTTGTTTCATCTCTATATTGAAAAAATAGAGATTACACTATTCTCATCTAATAAGCTCATGCATCCTTAACAAATAATACGAGTACAAATTCTTCCTGCATTTTGGAACAAGAACAAAAACATTTAATAAATTTAAAACGTATTTATAAAGAGCGACTACGCGTATGACAAATTACATGGAGCGATAATGTTAGGGTTTTAGTTAAGCCGTTCTGAGCCTAAAGCCTGTGTTATAAGGTTCACAATAGATCGTAATGGTCGACGTCGCCGCGGCGGAACCGTGCCCGTGTGGGATCCGACGTCACAGTGATGTGTCATCCTAAATTGATACGCACATGCATTATACATCTCATAATGTATAATATATTATTAAGTGTGATTGAATTCATTGTTTTTTTTAAATGTATTTTCGCGTACCGACACGGTATCATTTAAAAACCCGAATGTGTGTAAAAAAGACCTTAAGTCACATTAAAATCAAAGCCCCTACCTACGTATTTGACATTAGCACATCAAGAAACATTCAAATATTATTTAGCATATATAACTGTATCGCTTCATCTTAGATTAGCTAAATAAAAAAATAAAAAGATTCGCCACTGATAAATTAGTCCTTTAAGTCTTTTATGAAGTTTTGAAACGTGTTTAATTCTGTTTTTATCACTTCGGCGCAGCCCTGACAGGGAATTAGAACTATTCGATTGTTTTTTTTTTTTTAAACGTTTCTTTGTGTATTTACGTAGGGCAGGCGATGGTTAAGCTTTTCCTCTCGGTGTTTATCCTCTGTTGGAGCTCGTCGGTCCACCGGTGCGCGGTTCGATCCACGGTGGACGGGACCGTCAGACAGTTCATGCCGCCGAATTCGCATGCGATCTGAAAAAGCGATGGTGTTATCATCGGGTTAGCGCGCGTCGTAAGTGTGCTTAGAGCGAATTTTTTAACTTCTCGATCGCGTAAAAGTTAACTTTTTTTTGCATAGTTGGGTGGACGAGCTCACAGCCTACCTGGTGTTAAGTGGTTACCGGAGCCCATAGACATCTACAACGTAAATGCCGCCACCCACCTTGCGATATGAGTTCTAAGGTCTCAGTATAATTACAACGGCTGCCTCACCCTTCAAACGCTTTACTTCACGGCAGAAATAGGCAGGGCGGTAGTACCTACCCGTGCGAACTCACAAGAGGTCCTACTACCAGTAATAAGTTACTGTGGTCCTATCACAGTAACTCATATTTGTATGGAGTTGGAACAGCGCCCCTAGCAGCAAACGAAGGGAAGCTTAGAGCTTTACACAGATTAGAACCCCGCGAGCTCACCTACTCGTTCGATGAACCTAATATGACCTCTCGAGGTCATCGGAATCGGTAAATAAAAAAGCGCGTCGAAGACATAATTAAGAGTACTTTTACAGTTTAAAATCGCCTTTTTTATCGTCATATTATAAAGCAGATTTATTAATCTGCTTTATAAATTTCTATTTACTATTTACCCACTTAAAATAAGATTGCCGAGTTAATTAAATACAACATGCAGCTATTTTCTTAAAGCTACACAATAAGAGGAAAACAATGAAATACCTAGTAGATGACGGGAAAACAACTAACATATTTATTTCGAGAAAAAAACAATTTTTTCCTCACTAATTTTGATGTCATCATAACCTAAAGGCCGATTCGTAAATAATGATGCGATTATGCCCAACTCTCTGCAGCAGCGACAAATTCTGCCCTAGCCAAACCAGCTTACTTATTTTATGCCACGAAGCAACCATGCCTTTCATTTGAGTGAGACAACAGTTATACTATACAATTGTTAGACAGATTGTCGTTCTCACGTCACAAACTGGGAAGCGGTATCCACATTGGGTCCTCTGTGGGCTCCGAAAACCACTCAACACCAGCTGAACTGTTGCTTTCAGCGTGAAAGTCGTTCGTGAATACGCGTTAAGTACGCGTTTTCTTACAAGACGTGGTCCTTTGCTACACCGGATCACATCATCTGCGGGCTGTGTCATCATTTATGGGCTGTATCATCGCTATAAGTGATCTCTTCCAAATAAGAAACTTTGAAAAAGATTCAGTCGGTATTTTGCGGTTTACTATTATTATTACGAAACATTTACAGTTCAAAAGTTGAAATATCCAATCCACCAATCTAATCCAACAGCACTGATCTTTTTTTTTCTTTTTTTTATTGCTTAGATGAGCGGACGAGCTCACAGCCCCCCTGGTGTTAAGTGGTTACTGGAGCCCATAGACATCCACAACGTAAATGCGCCACCCACATTGAGATATAAGTTCTAAGGTCTCAAGTATAGTTACAACGGCTGCCCCACCCTTCAAACCGAAACGCATTACTGCTTCACGGCAGAAATAGGCAGAGTGGTGGTACCCACCCGCGCGGACTCACAAGAGGTCCTACCACTAGTAAAAAAGATCAGATACGTAACGCTCCTTCATTGAAGAGATACAATTTAAATACGTAAAGGTGAGCTGATGAATATTAGGGAAATCTGGTATGTCTTACCCTATAGTGGTGGAGCAAGGCCCTGTCGGTGGGCACGCCGACGGAGCTAGCCCCTGGCGCGAGCTCCCACAGGAAGTGGTTCCCGAGCTCGACGGCGTCGCGCGGCCGGAGCGCGTACTTGCTGCGGTTCTTCAGCGCGTGCGGCGTCGCCCAGCGGCGCGTCTTGCGTGCCGTCGTCAGCGGCGCCGTCGCCTCCTTGTCGTCCTGCATTCGATCGATAGACAATCAGGAGCGAACGGGAATGCGGAAATACTTAAATAAGCTTACTTGAATACGCTTAGAATACTTGAATAATTTTATTACTGGTAACGATAACGTTATAGTAAATTGGAGTGATTCGGTCACATAAAAATTATAAGTATATATTCTGGAAAATCATTATGGGATGAAAGGAAGTTGGATTGGAATGACTAATCGAGAATATGTTGTAGGGCTTTGAGGATAAATTAGGTTGGTCTGCTTAATTAAATCTTACTTTATAGTAAATAAAAATAGACACTATTTAACATCCCTTTGTGTGCCTTAGAATTACTTTTGATTTTAAAAGCTTAATTATTTTCATATAAACGGCTAAGTAATAACCAATGCATTTTATAAGCTGCAAATTTAAATGATTTCAATAGAAAATAAAATATTTAAGATCTAACACAATCTCTTTGGATTCATTCCTACGTTACTTTAATCGCCTTACTACTATTAATACCTAAACGAATTTCTGTCACAAGCAGAGGACATTTCATTGTCTCTATCAAAAGTCAGGTACATAAACATTCGACTAATACCGAGCCGATGGCGAGTTCCAAAAAACGTATTCAACTCGATATCTGCTTTGTGTATTTTTCACAGCAATTAAGTGCTCTTTATCGCCCTACTCAATTTTAATATTAAAATAGCATTTAACAAAGATTGGCGCCAAAACGCGAATACACAATACATTTTTAAAATAACAATGACTGATTCAAAATTCAACGGTAAAATTGATGTATCTATTTTAATTTTATTGTAACATTGTTAATGTTTAAACTGTGCAGATCGTATGACAAAATATTTTTTTTGTTCTAAGGTCATTATCTAGGAAGGAAACAAGAGGGATATGTTTGTATGGACAAATTAGAGCGCGCTTCCTCTCTAAAGTTATAACAATTAATGTTGCTTTTACTACTTTAATCTCATTGTTTGTTTTCATTTAATAAAATACGACGTTTTTAAAAACTGTGCATTTTTCGATAGGTATGTAATTATTTTTTTTTAGAAAATGAATTAGATTATATGGTGTTAAGTGGCTATTGTCTTGACGGGACAAACAGGAGGTCTGGGGTTCAATTTTTTTTGTTTAACAACCGTTATTTCCTTCAAACATAAACACAATACTGCTTCGTGGTAAGGTTGTACCTATTCCAATGCGCTCATAATACGCCCTACCATCAGCGAAAACTATAAATGTACATTATTTGTTATAAGTAGAAATTTTACTATTTTGCAAACTACCCACCAAAATTTTGTTTAAACATAAAAACAGCAGTATTTCGAGATCCGGCAGCGTCTTTGTATTGGGCTTAAACTGAAATGATATAAGTGAATTTGAACCGTACAAACTAGCTACAATCAAGACTGGGGAGGTGTGAAACCATACGCTAATACATTCAATACCACTCTTATAAGAAAAAACAGAAAAGTCACGTTTGTTGAATGGCTGAATTTAGTTTGCCTTTTTATAATATAATCCAACGAATAACCCAGCCTTACCTCCCAGCGCAAATAGAAGAATGCATTCCGGAACAGAAAGGCGGATGGTGCCTTCGATGGTGGATTATAAGAGGCTCGGAGTGACGTCAGCAGCGCCAGGAGCGTGCGCTCGCGGTGCGGCAACACGACCTCGTCCACGTCTATGACGAGCAGCCATCCCGCTGACGACATCGACCGGTACAGGCAGTCGTTGAACGCCGCGAACTGACCTTCCGTCCTGGAAAAAACCCAACACAATCTATATACGAGTATTCTTTAGTGAAGCAGAAACTTTGTACCCCTTTTTACGAAAATTGCGCTGACGGAGTAGTATGAAATTTCTCACACTTATAGAGAAAATAGTGAAGGTGTGCAGAATGCTAATATTTTTTTTATCTACACTATTTATACTAATATAAAAATCTACAGTGGTTTTTACGGATGTTCCGTTATAACTACTGAACCATGCATCCGATTGACTTGAAACTTGGTATCCATGTAGAAAATACATGTACTTAATGGATAGGTTAATATTTATATGAGTGTTGGAATCCCTACACCAGTTGCGGGAGCGTTAATGATGAGAATCTTTGTGGGGGTGAGAAATAATAATGTTAATTTTAAATGCCCAGCGAAGCGGACGGGTACAACTAGTTTTTTATAAAACAGTACATAAACACATACACAAAAAATTCTTTTAATATAACGAATTAACGAATATACAGACCGCACTGGTGTGTTCTCCACTATGTTATGTATTTAGTTCATAGTAACATAGTAGTTCTATTTAGTATAGTAAGACACTCAACTGTACTTTGTTAATGTACTCTTGAAAAAAATTAAATCACAAAAATTAAATATTCACAACAAATAAAAAAACTAAGCATTCGTGTCACTCACTGATACTGTGTACACAAAAGTGGCTCGGCCAGATCAACAGGTTAATTATCAAGTTGCTGAGGTTTTGAAATGTCATCCTTGATAAATAATTACAAAATATTTACAAAGATGTATATGGCCACCGATTACTTTAAAGCCAAATGATCTGAGATATGCGTAACATATATATCTACATATTATAAAATACACGCAGGTGCTATTCAATAGTAACTATACTGAGACCTTAAAACCCATATCTCAAGGTGGCGGCGTTTACGTTGTAGGTGTCTATGGGCTACGGTAACCATTCAACACCAGGTGGGCTGTGAGCTCGTCCACCCATCTAAGCAATAAAAAAAATATTGGATATAACTTACTGGTGGTAGGACCTCTTGTGAATCCGCACGGGTAGGTACTACCATCACGCTACTTATTTCTGTCATGAAGCAGTAATGCGTTTCGGTTTGAAGAGTGGGACAGCCGTTTTAACTATACCTGAGACCTTAGAAATTATATCTCAAGGTGGCTGGCGCATTTACGTTGTAGATGTCTATGGGCTCCAGTAACCACTTAACACCAGGTGGGCTGTGAGCTCGTCCACCCATCTGAGCAATAAAAAAAAAGATTTTTTTAAAATAATAAATTCATATCAGAACGCGAAGACAAGACATTTTTAGTAGAAAAACATAGTTTTTTTTTATCTGATGAAACGTTTATTACTGTAGCATGCGTTAGTTTTTATATCATTATAACAGCATTTTAAAATGTAAATCTCATTAGAAACAATCTCCATTTGATTAATTTGGAAAAGTATTTTCAGCCACTCCTATGTGAATCGAGTCTTGCTGAAAGAACTTGTTATTAAGAGTCTTAAGCATCACCGTCTTAATCATCACCAAAAAAAAAAAAAAACTTCGTTGAACTCACCGAATTTCAGCTTTGGATACAATCGGCAGTTTCCAAGGCAACAGAGTGATAAGGCCCTGTTTCCTGTAGTAGTCGAGCAGACACCCGACCGGAGCGCTCAGGGACTCGTTGTACATGTAAAAGTGACTGGCCCCCAGCAAACGATTGAATTCGAACCATTCGACAAGCCATTCGTCCCGCGCGTACGAATAATGGAACGGCTTCACGCAGATGTGCAGTGTTTCCTGAAATCCGTATTGTGGTTTTTTAATACGCTTTTATTAGTTAGCTTCAGACGTATGTATGTAACGGAATCTTTGAACATGATTTTGACTCCCTTCAAAACGTCGAATTAACTCGAAATTCGGCATACTTATTAAGGACCGATGACAATTCAATATTTAAAAAAAAATGAAAAATTTAAAACTCAATTAAAAAATGAAAAATAAATAAAAGTTTAAAAAAACTAAAGAAATACGCTTTTACAGAAAAAATTTTTTTTATTTTATTGTAAAAAAGCGGTTTTTTTTTACAATAAGATCATTTTTTCTTACACTATTTTTAATTCAAATTTATTAAAATTTATTTAAAATGAATAAAATCATTATTTTCTGTAAAAACGTATTTTTTTAGTTTTTTTAAACTATTATTTATTTTGAGCCAAGAAATATATTTACGCTAGGTGATCATTATAGAAATGGTTTGTTGTTAATCAGAAGATGATGACTGGCTGAATAACGAAATTTTTTGATACTTTGATCATTCGAGTCTTGTAGTATCCTCATCTCAAAACACCGCATGAATTTTATAACAATATTTGAATATATATTGTTAATTTTATGTCGATCCTCGGCGTACCAATGCAATTAAGACTTCCATCTCATATCTCAAAGTGGCTGATTAAGGTAATTAAAAAGTAAAATTAATAAAATACGTAATTGTCAAGTTATAATACTCGTATGATGACACGCTTTATCTAACTCAAGGCTTAGTGACGAGCCGTATAGTTCAAAGTTCGTTCGTTATAAAGTTTTCATTTAAAAATTATTCATTTTTATTTTTTATCTAATACTAAATTTATCTTTGATTTGATTATTTTATAAATAAATTGAAATAGTAAACGTATACAAAATCGTAGAAATAAAAATAAGAATGATTGGCACCTAATATCTCTTTAGAAATAATCTAGATCTCATATTAAATTCTACATTTATTCCATTTAAATTCAATTATCAAAGTACAAAAATATTTTTGTAGAAACTAAGAAGGGTTTGCTGAAAGTGATCGTACTTTGCGATAAAGTTGCCAACTGTAAGTACATTGAAATTTTTATAATAAATTTTTCAACTTTTTTAACTTGTGGTGTATAAGGCGTTCGTAAAAGATCTCTATCTGTCTAAATTTAGATGAACTCGTCACCGTAACCGACATAAGATGAACGAACAATATTCGATATAAATAGAGATTAGATCATTTCGACGAACTTTAAATAGGATGCTCCAATAACGGCGCTGTGCATTTTGAAATACAAAATGACAAGCAATGACGCTATGTGGAGTGTTGACTTGAATAATAATATTAAAAAAAACGATTAGCGCCATGTGCTGCGTGCTCTAATCAATTATAATAAGAATATTAATACGTGAAGTAAAAACTTTGTATCCCTTTTTACGAAAATTTCGCGGACGGAGGAGTATGAAATTTTCCTATAGAGAATATAGAGAAGAAGTGCACAATGCTAATATTTTTTTTAAATAATGCGTAAAAGATACATTAAATCAATAAAGAAAACATTACACAGCTACAAACCATGTATTTGACGCACACATGCATATTATTTTATTGTCAAACTTTTGTTCTTGAAGTCTGTGGTCAAATTGAGAATGTATTAAATATAGTTTGACTTTATTAATATTTTTCTATAGTGTAGTCTTGGCGAAATTTGTGATTATAGAAGTATAATAATCTTTGTAAATAGAATCATAATAGTGTACATATAGTCGAATTTCGACTACTCCGGGACCACTAGTATTACAAAATCGATTAGCGCCATGTGCTGCGTGCTCTAATCAATTATAATAAGAAAACATTAAATTTTATGTAATTCCTTCAGAAATCGATTTTTCCTAGATTATTCCGCTCCAGTTTATATTTTAAGAAAAGCAATTTGTACTTGTAGTGTAATTCAACTGCAGACCGAATTATGACATAATTGAATTAATTCGAAATGGTAAATGTTTTTTTTTTTGTTTCAATTCTCATAAATTAATCGCTCATTTCTAATATGTTAAAGTTGAAAATGTTTGTCATATTAAAATTAGTAAATTAAACAATATATATCTGCACATATATCTGCATCTGTTTACTTTGTGCAATAAATCTTCACATTTTACTTCTTATCGGTTTATTATATTGTGTCTAAATTAATAAATATTTCTGTGTGGAGTCTGGATCACCTCGTAATCATATTCAAAATGATATCGACATGCCAACAGCTTATTTTCAAAAATATACATAAAATTTATGACCTAAAATTTGACTAATTGCAAAATCACCTGTATAAACCAGGAAAACAAAGCAACCTTCTAATTGTGATATTGTATTTTTTTTATATGGCCTTTAGATAAAATAAGGTCAGACCGTAAAAATAAAAACAAAGGGAAAGGTCCACCACCTGGTGTTACCAAGATTCTATTACATGAATACCGTCAGTCCTTAAGCATCGTACCTTGACACACAAGGCCGAACTCTCAGACGCATTATTTCTCAGACGAATAAAAGCTTTCTAACGCTTCCATACAGAATGGCAGATTGCTCCGCTCCAGAAAATGTAGGTCAGAAGGTCGTACAAGCCCGTGACTTTCAACTCCTTAGTATTAGTAAGTTAATAATTTTAAAAGCAATAGTAATTTAATTATAGTACTTTTATTACGTGCTGTATTCTAATCTTAACTCAACTTTCAACCTACTGGTGGTAGGACCTCTTGTGAGTCCGCACGGGTCGGTACCACCGTCCTGCCTATTTCTGCCGTGAAGCAGTAATGCCTTTCGGTTTGAAGGGTGGGGCAGCCATTGTAAGTATACTGAGACCTTAGAACTTGTATCTCAAGGTAAGTGGCGGCATTTACGTTGTAGATGTGAATGGGCTCCGGTAACCGTTTAATAACAGGTGGACCATGAGCTCGTCCACCCAACTAAGCAAAAAAAACACTTAGTCTAAGAACTTTCATAATAGAAATGATGAAGTATATCTTTGAAGTGGTAAATAAATAACTAATCTATACTGTCTATATTAATATTATAAAAGTCAATGTTTTGTTTTGGTAGACGAGTTAATGGGCTCATTGTCGATATGTAGACATCATAGCGTAAATATTGCCGTTCACCTTGAAACGTGACGTCTTAATTTTATCATATAACGGCTGTCCCACTTATCAAACTGGAACGCATCACAGCTTCGCCGCCATAATGGGCAGGGTTGAGGTACCTATCTTTGCGGGCTCACAAGATACCCCATCACAATACATTTTTGCGGTTTTGTTTTTTATTATACCATGTTATCGCTTCACTCGTGTGAAAAACATTCATGAACTTTTGATGATTACGTGTTTCATAATAAAAGTGTACTGTCGGCTGAGTTTGAACACTAGCCAAGTCGTATCGTCGATACGAGCACGCTGGGAGTCTTAGGCGACAACCTTTAGGCCACAACAACATTAAACTGTAGTCCTTTTTCAGAGTAGCGAACTGATTAAAATTAAAATTAAACTATTCCTTATAGTATGTATTATTATTATTTTAACCTAAACGCCTTAGTCAGCAATGATATATGATAGGAAAATCAAGACATACCTAGCTCGGATATTAGGTTTGACTGTACTGATTTGTTGTTAAAAATAATTACTACGTAGTCTTCGATCAATGATCGAAGTACATAGTCTATATTTTTTATAAAATAATTAAAATATTTCTGCTTCATTTAAAAGATGTGTATAAAATAATTTTTAAGCAAAACTTCAATGAACAGGTTGAACGTTTTTGAAACCAAACTGACGATATTATTTTCAACCCATTAAAAAAATAATAGATTTGTTTGTATAGATAGGTATAGTATTTTATTAAACTACCTGTAACGATTGGCAGTTCGAAATTTTTCTTTAGAAAAGGATAATTATTATTTTTCTACTTTTATGGATTAATTTTCGTTGTGTATGTTATTAAATGAACTAATGTTTCCAATTAATTACAGTCTTCGGTTTGGTCTCCTAGATATTCTTATCCATATGCACAATAAACATTTTCTATAACATTTGACCACAGCAAAACTATTCACATTTCTTCAAAAGCGCGCTCTGCTAACGATTTGATCATTTCAACTGTCTTTGCCCGTGTATGCAGACGACCATACGGCCCACCTGCCAGTGAGTGGTTACCGTCGCCCATGGATGTCAGCAATGCCAGGGAGAGAGCCAAGCCGCTGCCTACCGTTTAATATTTGCGTGGCGGACGGTGCGATTGTAAAAATAATTTCAAACACAAACAATTCCTCAGAGCACTCCTCATGGAGCAGAGTGAAAAGCAACTGTGTTCTAAATGCTCTCAATGCTCTTAATCGAAAAGTAAACCATAATACACAACTTCGTTAAAGATGTATGAGGTAAAAACAATAAAAGCGGATGGATTGCGAGCATCACAATAGTGATTAGAACTAAAAAATAATTCCAATAAACAATAATATTTCTGGGTGAATAAAAGGTAACGGGTAGCTGAGCGTAACTGACTGGGCTGAAATAATTCGTCAGTCTCTTCTTACTCTCGTCAATGAAAATTAGTGAAAAACATAGTAAAAAGCTTGCAAGAAGTAGACTGTGCCTCGAACGCGTTTAATGCGGTTTTTTACTGGTGGTAGGGCCTCTTGTGAGTCCGCGCGGGTGGGCACCACCACCCTGCCTATTTCTGCCGTGAAGCAGTAATGCGTTTCGGTTTGAAGGGTGGGGCAGCCGTTGTAACTATACTGAGATCTTAGAACTTATATCTCAAGATGGGTGGCGCATTTACGTTGTCGATGTCTATGGGCTCCAGTAACTACTTAACACCAGGTGGGCTGTGAGCTCATCCACCCAATAAAAAAAATAAAATGCATAATAATCCAAAAAAAAGGTAATTTATTAAAAACATCGCAACGTCAGAGGAAGGCGTTTTACCTATAGTTTCTTAACTAGGCCAAATTGGTTGTTGGTATTGCGCTGTCTCATCAATCACCTGATGTTTTAGTGAGAACTAATCAATAAAACTAGATTATTATTTTCTTGCTTATATTTCCATATAATGCGGCTGTAGTAGTAATACCTCATCCTAGCGAACTTGACAAGCACGTATGTGGTCGGTTTACAATATGCTGCCTATTTCTTCAGCAAACCAGTCAGGTTGCCATTTGAAGACTGGGACTTTGGTCTTATATTTTATAAGTCACTTTGAGTTGCGGCATTCATTCTGTGTTTTCTATGTGCCCTGATAGATCACTCGACGGTACATACATGAGTCGTGACCTTGTTAGCTTATCAATGGTTTAGATAAAACATCAGTTACATTGTCATTTACGTCTATAATCATATAAAACTTTGACGAGCTTTAAAATTTCAGCATTCCATAAACTTCTCCTATGTTGGTGTAATGTGATTTATTGAATTTTATAGACTTGGGACTTGATCAAACACTAGATGAGAATTCTCTTCATAAAAAAGTCGTCATAACTACTAGTAAAAAAATATAAATTATTTCTATAATTTCAAATCAAAACAATAATTGGCTTTTTAATATTCGTAGAAGAAAATAAATAGGTACTAGTAAACGTATAGGTACCTCAATTCCAGTTTGTGGTTCTGTGTCGAGGATCGTGAGCAGGTTAGTTGGCGGTCGATTCGGTGAAGCACTGGCGATGACTGATATAGATCCGCCGACTGTCTCTTGTGGCTTCACGCCGGAATCTTTCAGCAAACACAGAACGTACGTTGCGCTGTATTTTAAATTCCAATTTTCTCTTATAGCCTGGAAACAAAAGCGAAGGGTATTGGATCCGTTTTTTACAAGTATAGAGTTACAAGAAGGCCAGCGTATGACGTCAAACGAGACAATTATTGGGTTATCTCCCCCTTTATTCGAACTCGTCGCGTCAGCGTCATGCTGTCCCGTCTCTCCAGTAACAACAATTAGCAATTACTGACAACCATGAGCAAATATTTCATAATGCAATCAAATTGTTTTATAAATTTTATTTAATACCTATTTATTTTGTGATAATCTGTACTATATGCAATACGAGATTTGCATGTGCTGATACGACTAGACCTGTGTGCAACCAGCATTATATGAAGCCGAATCAAAATTGAAAAGCGATGGCAATAAATTGGTTTTTAGATGCTTTTTAAATTTCAATATATTTCTGTAATGTTTTTCCCATTGATGAAGTTGTCGATTTTCAATTCCGTAGTTGTATGTTTTCTTGGCTTTTTTTACTTATGTTGATAGCCTTGAGAGGCTGTTTCAGCTTCACCTTGACGTGTAGGTGAGCTCACAGGGCTCAAACCGGGAGTGTTGCTAACACTGGCCCTAGCAAGAGCAGTGCTTCGCAGAATCTACCACCGGATCGGAAACGCAACCCACTGAGAACATCCGGCGAGAAACTCACTGGGCTGTGTCTATGGGCTAATTTACTCCAGTTTTTCTTTCTTTTTTTATTGCTTGGATGGGTGTACGAGCTCACTGCCCACCTGGTGCTAAGTGGTTACTGGAGCCCATAGACATCTACGATGTAAATGCGCCACCCACCTAGAGATATAAGTTCTAAGGTCTCAAGTATAATTACAACGGCTGCCCCACCCTTCAAACCGACACGCATTACTGCTTCACGGCACAAATAGGCAGGGTGGTGGTACCTACCCGTGCGGAGTCGCGGACTCACAAGAGGTTCTACCACCAGTCACAAGCGACGGGCTGGACGAGGACGTCGACCGGAACGTTTTTTTTGCTTGATAAGCAATTGAGTGTATTGAATTACCTTGACGCGGGCCTTGAGCGTCAGCGTGCGGTTGTCGGGGAGCCACAAGCGGCAGATGACGGGGTCGGCTCCGCGCGTTTTTGTCGCTGCGATTATTCGCACCGCGGCCACCGTCCGACGTTCCACGTAAGCCGAATAAACGTAAAACCGAAATCTGTAACAATAATTCACAATATAGTTCCGTATACTGGTGGTAGGACCTCTTGTGAGTCCGCGCGGGTAGGTACCACCACCTTGCCTAGTTCTGCCGTGAAGCAGTAATGCGTTTCGGTTTGAAGGGCAGGTTAGCCGTTGTAACTATACTAAGACCTTAGAACGTATATCTCAAGGTGGGTGGCAGATTTACGTCGTAGGTGTCTATGGACTCCAGTAACCACTTAACACCAAGTGGGCTGTGAGCTCGTCCACCTATCTAAGCAATAAAATAAAATAAAAAATAGTGTAATAATGAACTAATCTCCACAGTTTTCATTGTAGTAAAAATTTACAGTAATTATGTCTGGTTTATTGTTTATTATACATAACCCGCGGTTTTACTCGCGTTAAATTTTGTTGCATTTTTCTGGAATAAAACTTTGTTGATTGTGTTGCTTATGTCAGTCACTGGTCTATCAACTACAATCAATTTGTCAATTTCTTTGGTCAATTTGTAGATTAGTTCGTAAGAAAAATAATGAACCAACAAATACACTGTGTTATAGCATATTTTATGTGTTTTTGTTACGGCCGATGACGGCTGGCGTTGCCTGAAATATGTCATTTATCGAATATGAAGTACGAGAAGTTAGTGTTAAACTAAATTTTCGATATATTTACATTCAACTTCATACAGTAATTTTTTTTTGTGGGATTAAGTAAAAAAATTGTTTTAGGTAGGTTACCACCACCATTCCTATTTCTGCAGTGAAGCAGTAATGTGTTTCGGTTTGAAAGACGGGGCAGACGTTGTATTTTTTTTATTTTTTTTGTTTGGCTTAGATGGGTGGACGAGCTCACAGCCCACCTTCTGTTAAGTGGTTACTGGAGCCCATAGACATCCACAACGAAAATGCGCCACCCACCTTGAGATATAAGTTCTAAGGTCTCAAGTATAGTTACAACGGCTGCCTGACCATTCAAACCGAACCAAATTACTACTTCACGGCAGAAATAGGCAGGGTGGTGGTACCCACCCGCGCGGACTCACAAGAGGTCCTACCACCAGTAATTACGCAAATTATAATTTTGCGGGTTTCATTTTCATTACACGATGCTATTCCTTCACCGTGGAAATCAATCGTGAACATTTGTTGAGTACGTATTTCATTAGAAAAATTGGTACCCGCCTGAGATTCGAACACCGGTGCATCGCTCAACACGATTGCACCGGACGTCTTATCCATTAGGCCACGACGACTTCATAACTATAGTGAGGCCTTAGAACTCATATCTCAAGGTGGGTGGCGACATTTACGCTGTAGATGTCTATGGGCTCCAGTAACCACTTAACACCAGGTGGGCTGTGAGCTCGTCCAACCATCTAAGCAATAAAAAATAAAAATAATATTTAAACATACAATATACAAACATTCTCATTAATAGTATTCATTTAAATATTTGTATTTGCTTCATTACTGGTTGTGGAGTGTATCGTGAGCCCGCACGGGTCCGCACCAACACACTCACTACACTCATCTATTCTTTTCTTGAAGCAGTAATATACGGGATAGCCATTATATAACGTAAATTAGCATTCGAAGTTACTTATGGTAGGCAGCGGCTTGGCTCTGCCCCTGGCATTGCTGACGTCCATGAGCGACGGTGACCACTTACCATCAGGTGGGCCGTGTGCTCGTCTGCCTACAGAGACAATAAAAAAAAAAACTCCAAAATATTTAGTTGGCTGCATTCACATTCAGCAGTCTATGAGCTCCGGTAGCCACTTAACACCAAGTGAGCTCGTCTGCTTATCTATATCAACGCATAATACTATAAAAAAGCAAAAACAGTACTTAAAAATTGCGTAAATGTCGTTTTTTTTTTAGATATTAAAACAATGAACATCCCCACATTTTATTCACGTTCAATTTTGTATTAAATAAAATTAGTTGAAATGTAGTAAGCTCGGAACGATTACAACAGGATACAACTCAATAGATATCAAATCTGACAAATACAAAACCGCATGAAATAAAAAAACAGCCGTAATTCAACACGTTTATCCAAATGCAAATATTTGTCGACCGATTCCATTCAAGCGTAATTTACCAGGATTGTTTATTTAACGCTAGTCTGACACGGTCGTGCTTTGAATCGATCCGTCTGACAAGTAGCTCGGCCAAATATAACTCAATCGTTATTCTCACCTGAATTTGCGTTAAGTCAACTCTAATGCCCGTATCTTTAGTCGTTCACACGAGCTTAACTCGACTCGACTCAACCTCCAACGCGCGTTTTGGTATGCTTAGTGGTATAAATAAACTCCACTCAAACGTCCTTGGAAAATTTTCCTAACCGGAGTGAAGTAAGCGAACTGTCAAGTCAAGGTACGTCGCGACGTACCTTGAACGTTCCTCAAGGCTGGTTTTCTATCAATGTCCAAAGAGTATGTGGACCGCAAATGGAAATATATTTTTTGATATTGTTGTGCAATGGCCTGGATCTGCGCATGATTCGCGCATATGTAGATAATTTAATGTTGATAATTTTTATTAATAAAGTAAATAGTTCGAGGTTAGACTCTTGTTTAGACTCGTGGTTAGACATTTGAAACTCCTTATTTTATTTACCTACATAAGAGTAATATTTTGCTTACTACCTAATAAATAAAGTCAATGCGATTATAAGTTTTATTTATATAATAATAAGCTGGTGGTTATGGAAAAGCATTTCAACAACACGATGCAATCAAAATCACACAAAAACGGCGAATAAAAATACAAAGCCGGGTCTGAAATCTAAAATAATAATGGGTTAGAAAATAAATAATACACTTTCAAATTTACCGCACGCACACATATTTACGAATAACTCAGCAACTAAAACATCAAACAAGTTCAATGCTTCTAGTATCAAACAGACAGCGGCAGCTTGACTTTGACATTAAACAATGACCATAGACTACAGAACTCTATGGGTTTGATGCTAGCTTGATCAAATTTTCCTCAAACTAATGCTGTCGTGGTGACGCAATAACATGACTCTACCTCACTCGAGGACAGTTGAATATTGTAATGGTCGACTAAAAATACCAAACTCGAGTAAGTTTGGGAGGAATGCTCGAGCATCATCGGATGAGTTAAGAGTAGAGGACTATTTAACGAAACATCTAAAGATACGGGCATTAATCTGAATTTCATAATTCGAATCATTTTGTTAACGGTCAGATGACCGATTGTGCAAATTGTAATAAACCAAACCGACTTCAACGCAAACGGAAAAACACGTAGAACGTGAGTTATAAGACTCAAAGGCAAACGATATTGACTCTGCAAATCTATCAATAAACGTCCCTACATCGTTATTAGCTCAGACAACACAATCATAGCTTGTACTACTTGCTATTTATATTTATTTTACGGCTTCAACGAAGCAGCCGTTCCAGAATCGTAACAGACTGACTTTTACGAATACTTGACATTCACAAATATCGTCATGAACAAACATGAATACAACGAGAAATATGATACGCCATCCGTGCTATTAGGTCATTTATCCAAGCGAACTTCATAATACGGAAATCGGCTCACAATCGACTTCGCAAAATTAGAGCCATTTAATCAATATAGTATGCTTTACATTGCTAATAGAACGTAATATAATACCTACCTACTTTTACTAATATAGTTTTTACGGAATCGGATGATAAAAACTTACCTTTTTCAATGTGAACATGACTAAATAATGGCGATCAAGATCCGTCATAGTAGGTGAATTGTAATATTATCCGAGTAAAATATTTGAACTATGAACATGCATGAAGTATGTAACAGCAATAGCACCTGACATCGATCAGTCTACAAACTCAGCGCTGGGAACAACATCCCGCCCGCTAACTAGAGAATTCATCGGCTTAGATAATAATTTTACGGTACCCGCACATCGGGGTCAAAACGAAAACATTATTTGGGATAGCATATCGAGTTTTAAAATTACAGAGTCCAAACTAATAGTATCATCAGTGACAACATAATATTTAGCTTTTTTTTATTGGTCTGCTGGGTCATTTCCACTCCAGATGAAGAAAATATAAATTGTTTTTAAATTTGACTTTTAATTATCTTAGTGTCAAGGTCTAGAAATTAAGACTGTTAATGTTTGACAATTTTAATTCATGGCACTGGGTAGTTGTGAACTTAATATTGTGTACTTTCTATATTATCCTTGTTTTTAAAAATAAACGAATCGTTCTTATAAGTAAAGATAAGATAAAAGTAAGATTAAAAAAAAAAAGATTGATCCTTTTAGTTTCCTATGTATTTAGTGTAATCATCTCCTTATTCATTCCACAAAATATCTGAAGAAATGGGTGAGATTTTTACAAAAGCAAACATCGATCAACAATTCGTGATCAAATCATGGATAAGTTGGATGTAAGACGCATATCGAGTAAAGCGATCCAAGTTGAAAACTTGGGAGCAGGTTTATTACCATTGTGCATCCTATATCCCATTTTTTTAATTTAAAATATTCCTAACCCGTATTCAAGGACGACTACGCAATAGAATAGCATCACAGTAATTTCAGCATATTGCGAGCTTCTTCAGTTGAGTAGATCTTGTCTGTTTCTAGTGTAAAGAAATGATGCGTTCTGCCTTTTAGGATATAATGGACTTTAGGTATTAAAATTGCAACTTCGACCTCACGTGTCTCTTCTGTATCTTCTTAGTACCGCGTTGGCCGTGACTACGTTTGCTCATCTAAGTTAAATAGTGGTCCCGCAGTAGTCGAAATTCGACTATAATTAATTGAAATTATAAGTTTAGACATTATTATGGTTCTATTGTCATACACTATTATGATTCGATAATATACCTAATCACAGTGTTCGCCAAAACTGCACTATAGATAAATAATATTAAAGACAAACAATATTAATCTATTCTCAATTCGACCACAGACTTTAAACAATAACAGAAGTTTCACAATTAACAGTAGGTAAACTAAGAATATATT